TTTCTTGGCTATGTAGTGTATATATATATAAAAAAAAATATTACCTAAATGATTTTTAAAGCATAAATTTGGTTCATACTCAAACTAAGCCAAAAGATAAACAATTTGACTTGCTTGTTATTGCTAATTGAACGTGTTTATAGTGAAGAATAAATGATATTTTTTTGAATCTCCATTATATTTGTCTGTAAGGGGTCATTTTTTTTCTTTTCGCCCCGGGCCCCATATACGTTTGGACCCGGCCCTGGTTTAGATTTATTTTGTATAATTTGTATGAATAAAATTAATTTTTTTCGTATGATATCTAAATTTGCTTTACAACAAAATTAAATAAAATATTTTTAACGCTTCTTTTGGTAGTACGCTGTACAGTACTACCCTACGATCATATTGAACCCACGTGAGGCGTCATCACAAGCACGTGACATTTGTTGTTTACGCGATTTTATAGTACGTAGATAATTGTCCTGCTTGTCAAGGACAATCACTTGGCCCAATTTTAGTTTTTTATGTACATGACAAAATAATACTTTCACGTCTATTTTACATCCATTTATGCCCTAAAAATCATCTAATTCTAACAACAAAAATATCTCTAAGTCGCATAAGATTGGAATAAAGAGAACAATCAAGCCTCTTTTTAGAGTATTGCACAAATAGTATGATTATAATGTCTCCTACTTATAAGATTTTCATTCTTTATGTTTAATCAAAATATAAGTTGAAATGGATGTCAGAAATTGATGTTAAATATTTAGTGTCGATGATGGATTTGTGTGGATACTTGTATGATCATGATTTCACTTTCGTTGAAAACCAATTGCACTATATGCCCGAGATCCACATATATTTTAGCTGGATATTAAAAAATAAAGCACTTACCTTATGTATGCATAAGAAAGAAAGCAAAAACCAGAATCATATTTAAATTGGTCTTAATTTCGTGAGTGTCGAAACTGGAGTCTTATATATATATATATATATATAATATATAATATATATTATATATAGATATTATATATATCTATATAATATTATATATATATATATATATATAGACCTAGGTTATTCTATTCTAACTAATTATTATGTGTTATTGTATGAATGATTTGGGCCAATCATTTTACTTATTTAAAGAAAGTGGTTTTACATATTATTGAATAAATATAATTGAAAAATACATCTAATTTAACTAGAAGTGTATTTAGTCAGTTAATATAGATTTAATAAAGGAAATTTGATATTTTAAGGAAAATTGCATATATTTAAGGGAAAATAGATTTATTAATTTAAAAAATCTGATTGTATGGATAATAATTCTCCTAATTCGGAAATTCTGACGGAATATGTTTATCAATATATAGAAAAATAACAAAAATTATTGAACCATACAAGAATACACATCTGATATAATAATATTTTGATTTAATGAACTTCTTGAAGAATAATAAAATTTTAGATACAAGTTAAAAAAAATTTCATTACATTCTTAGAAAAGAAAAAAAATTATATACTATTCTATGAGAATGTTACACTTATTAATAACAAAGAAATACAAATATATAGATCATTCTACCAGAATATACTATTATTCTGCTAGAATAATCTATTCTTTTTGGAAGATTGGTGGTCATTGTTCATCTTCATCCCGTAGAATAACCCATTCGATGTCCCATCTTCCCTCTATATTTTCCTGTCAAAAATCAAAATCAAACACCAATTCCTCCCAATGATTTCTGTTCAAACAATAAAAAAAATAAAAAAAATGTAGCAGCTAATCAAGTAAAATATAACAGCTAAAGCATAGAATTATTCCAAGTTTCACTATGACCAAAATCACACTCAAATTCTGTTTCTCCTATTGGTCCTTCCATTGTAGCCATTCTACCTCCTGAACACTCAATAAAAGATTAAACTCAAATAAAATCAACACTCCATTCTAAAATAATATATACAAGGATAAAAACTTTTTGTGAGATATGGATGATCAAGAAACACCCATCAATTCACTGTAAAACATCAACACCAAATATCCATTCCTTCATTAGTTTGTGTCAAAACAAACAAAGAAAAAGGAATTTTCATTGTTCTTCTGTTCCTCTCTATCAATTTCTGTCAAATACAAATCCAAACATCCATCTTTATCCTACATTGATTCCTATCCCCAAAAAAAAAAAAAACGAGGCTGCTAAAGCAAACCCCATGCTCATCTGTTACACTGATATTTCAATGGAGCTATTGCTAGATCAAGAAAAAAAGAGAGAAAAAGAACAGGGGAGCTGCCGTAGCAGCCCCCGTCCACGCACCTTTCAACCACCGAGAGCAAAACCTAGCGAAGTGGGTGTTTCCCCGGAGCAAAACCAGTCGGCGACAACCCCCTCTGATCCCTCGACCTCTTTCCTACCGCGACGATGTTGCTGCCCTACCCCATCCCGTTCTTCCCTTCGGCACGTCGAACCCAGGAGACCACATCGCTGCTTTTTCATAGTTAATTATGGTAGATCAACAACAATTCCTTATATCACGCAAGAAGCAAAGATAAATATAGAACATTAGCCCTAAATCGATTTCACCGCTTCCCTCCACCCCTGTAGATCGATTTCACCATTTCTCTCTGTATTCTCTATTTGTTCCATATTCAAGCCCTAAATCGATTGACGAAACGAATGATATGTGTATGGCGGTTACAATTGTAGAAAGAAAAGAGAGAGAAGGAATGCAGAGATGGGTCAGGTCCCAATTGTACTGCTACTCCACGGCTTCCCTGAGCTCTGGTACTCCTGGTTCCATCAGATCCTCTACCTCGCCGCCCACGGGTACCGAGCAGTCGCCCCTGACCTCCGTGGCTACGGAGACACCACCGGTGCACCTATCGACGATCCTACCAAGTTCACTACACTTCACGTTGTCGGCGACATGGTCGCACTCATCGCCGCTCTTGGTGTAGATAAGGTGTTTGTGGTTGGGCATGACTGGGGCGCCATGATTGCTTAGAGCCTTTGTTTGTTTAGACCTGACAAAGTTAAAGCCTTGGTCAATTTGAGCGTTCACTTTGCCCCAAGAAACCCTCACCAGAAAATTGTAGATATTTTTCGTGTTGCATACGGAGATGATCACTACATTTGCCGATTTCAGGTAACATTTCTGCTGTAAGACTCTTACCGAAATTTTAAGAACTATATCTTGGTGTATAATTCATGAACCCAAGCACGAAGAATATTTAAAATAGCTTTCATTTAGTATTTTCCATGGTATAATATATATAAATTGACACAAAAGGGTTGATTTTTTCTTCCCCCGTTTAACTTTGTTGTAGGAACCAGGGGAAATAGAAGCTGTGTTTGTGAGTCTTGGAACCAAGAAGGTTTTTGAGAAATTCTTGACACATCGTGATCCTGATCCATTTTATTTCCCTAAAGATAAGCCCTTTGGAGCTTTGTATGATACTCCTGTCATCTTGCCATCATGGTTATCCGAAGAAGATGTTGATTATTACACCAAAAAGTTCGAGCAAACTGGTTTTCACAGGAGGAATAAACTACTACCGATGTTTTGACCTGTAACTTTTATCTATTTTTTATTTTTTTACTTGTTGAATTGAATAATTACTTAAATTATTGTTGTTGTTCCTTTTCAGTTGTTGCACAGAAAGTACAGTGGGAATTTCTTGTTTAATATGTTGGGAAAATGGAAGGAATCTGAATACTCTGGTCAATCTGTTCCAGTTGGTGGTCTTGCTTATTATGTTACTGCACCTTCTCAAGGTAATGACTCACTCCATTCTATATTTCCATTCCATTCCATTCACATTCCTTGATTTGTGATGATTTATTATTTGTTTGCATGTGAATATCATCATCAACTTGGCTGATATGGCAGCAAATCCCTTCCATGCTCTTTTTTTTTTAATATTTTAGTTAATTGAGTAATACTTAAAGGTTTGCAAACTTTAGCTTTAAATGGTTTCAAACTTTATAATTTTTGATTTTCACCTACAGTAATATAACTTGTTTGCTTTACCAAATGAATGTTAACCTGAAAATTCTTTCAGAATGAGGGCAATATTCTTTTAGAATAAAGAGGGCTTTAGTTTGAAGAAGGCTACTATTCTTTCAGAATGAAGAAGGGAAATATTCTTCACATGTAATCCTGCAAATTGATCAGACCTAGACAACCAAAAAAGGCAGGGAAGCATTAATTTTATTCTTTTACAATGATTGTTCTCTAAGAATGAACTCGAATTTTATTCTTTATTTTTTTTCATATCAGAATGCAAACACAAGTGTATCACTACAAATTACTTGGCAATGAATTTCTGATAGAAATGGCTTGAAGAATGGCTTGAAGACCTGATGGGAAAGACTTGAAGAATGAATTAAAGAATGATCACACTCATTGTTTAAGAATGTTGTTATTTTTTAAGAATTATACTTGTTATTCTTTCATAATGTTTGTTATTATTCAATGAATCACAATCATACAATGTAATTATTTGGTATATTATTAGTTCAAGAATCGATTTTGTGTATTCTTTCAGAATATATTTACTAGTTTATGGTTGACATTCTGTCATTCTGACAGAATAAAATCGAAAAATATATTTACTAGTTTATGGTTAAAATTCTATCATTCTGACAGAATAAAATCGGATTTTTAATTTTAAATTAATTTAAAGTATTCAGATTTTTAAAAATAAAGGAATTAATTATCCCTAAAATTCCAAAAATTTCCTTTTTTAATATAGGTTAATTGACTAAAATGCCCTTATGCTCAAATTTGTGTGATTATATGGTACATGTTATCCTATTCTATTATCATAGACCCTCAGATCATGACCTTTGATTATATTCCATCCAATGGTTCAGATCTGTGCATTCTGGCACACAATAGTTATTAGAAACAAAATAACCTAACCCTATATATATATATATATATATATATATATATATATATATATATATATATATAGAGAGAGAGAGAGAGAGCTATGTTCATTTGTTTAAACTAAGTATTGTGTTATCGTATGCATAAATGTGGGCCAATCAAAATTAAATAAAAAATTAAATAATTAAATAAATAAATAAGGGTAATTTAGTCATTTGTTTAATAACTTCCAAAAATAATCCCTATAATCATGGTATCTCTCCAGTTTAAATCTCCTTCCCCTCTTTATCTAAAAACCGATTTCTAAAAACCCTAAATTGAACAAATCGACACCCCCACCCTTGTCCCTCCAGCCGTCATTTCCCCTTTATTCCAATCTGCATCAAGTTTCGATTCCGGATCGGAGTCGGACGACGAAGCTCAAGCTGCTCTCGAATTACAAACCCTAGAAACGGAGCTCTCGACAAGGAGCAACGAAGCAGCGGCGCAGGTGAGTATAAAAACTATTGGGAGACCAATATGTTTCTCCAAACCGAAGAATTCGATAGGTAATCATACTAATTAACTAATCATATGATCTTCTCCTTTTCTCTTTGTCGTTTAAACCTGAATCCATCGTTTTCTTCTGCAATTTCTGAAATACAGTTGGGGCGGATTGGAGGAAACATTTTCCGGCTATTGTGATTCAAGTTCGCCGGACGGAACTCAGTCGTCGGCGGCCTCCAAGGGAGGATTATTCAAGAGGAGATAATGATACTAGAGTCTCAAAAATCAGAATCTGGGGTTTACGATTTTGATCAGGACACAGTGTTCATGTCAACGGAAAAATCAAAGAAGAAAAGGATTCAGCAATCTCCAGATACAAGTGATTCAAGGGCCTTTCCGATTGAAATTATTGAAGTAAGTCAAAGTCTTGAACTGTTTTTACGTACTCTCATGATTTTATCTCAAATTGATGATTGTGTTAAACTGTTAATTAACAGTTAAAAGTGTCATACGTGGGAGAGAAGATAGCATTGGTGAGTTTGAAATGCAGGAAAAGAAGAGACACGATGGTCAAGATTTGTGAGGTTTTTGAATCTTTGAAGCTCAATGTTGTCACTGCCAACATCACTGCTTTCCTGAGACCCTTTCAAGACACTCTTCATTCAGGTTTGCACTAGAAAACATACACTTCGGTGGTGGTGTGTTCTTGACTGAAAACGAAGAAGAAGAGAAGGAATGCAGGGGTGATTTTTCTTTTGTATTAAATATTGATTGTGAATCGATGCAGAAAAGAATAGAGAATGGAAGAGTGTTTATGTAGATGATTCAATGGATGATATTGGTGAGATTCCAATTCTATTGGAATGTAATCACGAATTCCAATTCTATTGGAATGGAAAGACGAATTCCAATTCTGTTGGAATCACAGATGTTGATGCTTGAAGAACAGACCACAAAATTGAAACGGACCACATTATTCTTTTAGAATGTATTAGTCGTTGTTAGATTTTGATGTTTTCTTTTCCCGTTTTGATTGTTTTTTAGTTTTATTCCTTAACAATAAATGTAATTTTTAACAATTGTTATCCGTATTCTATAAGAAATAATGTGTTTTTTGTTTTTATTCTTCAATTGATTATTCAAGGATTTGTTATTCTACAAGAAGTTTTTAAATTCATGATCAAGAAATAGGTTCAAGAATATTTTTATTATTTATGGTTCAAGAATATTTTTATTTTTGAATATACTCATAAACATATTTGTCAGAATGTCCGAATTAAAAAAATTATAATACGTAAAATCGGATTTTTAAAATTAATAGAATCTATGATCCCTTAAAAAATGCAATTTTCCTTTATTAAATATATATTAATTGACTAAATTACTCTTGTAATTAATTAAGATGATATTTTCAATTATATTTAATTCAATAATATATATTAATCACTTTCTTAAAATAAGTAAATTTGATTGGCCCACATTTATGCATACAATAACACAAATTATTTTGAATAGAATAACCTAGGCCTATATATATATATATATACTATATCTATATATCTATATAATATATATTATATATATATATATATAAATATAATATAAGTAATTTATATACAGTTTTTAGTTTATAAACCAACTATCTAAACTAGCTAAAATTCATTAGGCATTACACATAATCAATTAATCATATAGTAAGAAAGTAGGTGTCGAACACAAGGGGAACGAGAATAATTAAAGGCTAATTTATCTACAAAAGTTAACTAATTAAAAAAACAATTAAATAAGGGTTTTTCTCTGGTTTTACAAGTCCAGCTTAATTTAAAACAGTTATCACCAAAAATGATTAAACTAACAAAAAACAATTAAAATTAAGGTTTAAAACAAGATATTAAAGTGACTTTCGTTTAGATATGATTCACACTACTCATATGACTGATTTCTTGGAAAGTATAATGGATTAAATTGTTTGTTGCTTACCGATTCCTAAGTTGATTAGACTTTATAATCAAAAGAATAATCCTTTAGTAAAACTAATTCATTCATGCATTGATTAGGTGGACAAATAAATAAGATTACTAGTATTAATCACGAGTTATGTTAGAGTTGAACTAATGATTGATATTAATAAATAATAACATCAATTCAACACATGAATGATCATCACATATTAGCTTCCACATTAATTTACTAAATAAGAATGATCATCTAATTCAGAAAAACTCAGCAATAAACAGAAAAAGTAGTTATCATTAACACAAAAGGGTCTTTAACAAGCTATCATAACAAATAAGCAACTAGAACCAATCCAAGATCCAATAAGGGGGTGTTTGATTGTGGCCTGACTCGGTCCAGTCAGACCTTTTTTTCTAACTCGGTCTGGGTCAGCTGGTTTGATTAGGATTCTTTGCACATCTGATTCAGTCCACAATATCTGATTCGGTCCTCAAAGAAAAAGTAGCTGACTCGGTCCTTTCCACCGGTTTCACGTATTTGTCTTTCTTCTTCTCCTTGCCCCTAAACGACGTGACTTCTTGTTTCTCCTTCTCCTTCAATTCACGCATAACTTCTTCCACCACCACTGGTCCTCTTCTTCTTTAATCAATTCATGGAATCGATTTTGATATTAAATCGAGCAATGAAATCGTTTTTGAAAGTGAGTGTTAAGAAATCTTCAATCGATTTAACTCCCTTCGCACTTAGAAAATAGAGATGGATAACAAAATTATGGAGATGCAATCCACCATTGGTTCCATCATAAATGAACAACGAGCACTTGAGTGACGATTGATGAGAAGCAGAATGAAATCAAACACACGAAATCCAAACTCAACCATCAAATCGTGAAGAAAAGCGAAGGTAAGACCGAGAGAAAGGATGATTGAGGTAATTGCGAATTTCTTCTATCAGTGTATATTTTTGTTGCTTCATCCAACGACTGAGGTAATTTCTAATTGGATTAGACTTTTTAGCAGTTAAATGGGCCTTTTTTATAACTTCAAGGTTCATATGATTTTGTTTCAGATTTGAAATTTTCATGGATATGAGTATGTAATCCAATAAGTGAAGCCATCATAACAGTTGTTCTGTTGAAAATTTCATGGATATGATCATGTAATCCAATAAGTGAAGCCATCAAGTAATGGAGACTAGTGCATACTGTTGGAATCATTTTGGTTACAAGAGTCCAACTCGTGAGTTCCATATTTAAGGACCTGTTGTGCATTAACTAATTAGCCAAAGGGTCTTTGAAATCATCATAACCGAATTGGTTTGTTACAAGAACACATATGCCAAATATTTTGTATTCATGGGAAACATTCATAATGTGTTGTGGTCATGAAGACTTAAGGATATATCATGAATCAAGGAACTAATTGTATGTTGTGCATTAGCAATTGTAACATTATCTACATAAATATATGAAATGATAATTTCTCATGAACAATTGTAACATCAATCTTGTGTAGTAAATTCTTGGTGATGTTGTATATAGCATGATCAATAATAAATTTAATGACAAATCATAGGGAAATTATAGTAAAAAAATGTTATTTGAGGGTAATATAGTCGTTTTGTACGGTCAGTCATATGCAAAATCAAACAAGAAGTTTCAGTCAGAAGCAAACTCAGTCAGCTTCCAACCCAGTCAGCTCTTACCTAGTTAACAACTATCAAACGACCCC